ATATAACTCATAAACAGGGGGACAGACAGTGAGAGAACGGGATTGAAAGAGTGAGAGGAAAAGACCATAAGGAATGGTAAAAATCGCGTGCGAAAGACATGTTTAGAATTAGTGAGACATGAAGATATGAGAATGAAGATATAACACACTATATTTAAATAATATAAAAATGACATTTATTGAAGTTTACTAATTTTTGTTTCTTGATACCTTTGCTACGCTTTTTCAGGCCGAAAGATTATCGACCTAATGACTAATAAATGAATAAAGAAATAGTCTCATAACAAAATCAGAAGATGTTCTTCCGAGAGCTAACGGCTATTTTTCTATCTATTTTCTATGTAAGGACGGTCTTCCGTAGCATTTTAAGGGGAAGAGAGTGAGAAGAAACAAGGCCTAAACAGGTCGCCAGCTCAAAACGAAACCAAACGAGACAAATTGCCGGCCATGACGGATCTTTACAAAAGCGGCTTCATTCCGGGCCCCTAAACAAAGCGTCGATTCTGTTAAAAGATAAAAAATAAACACCAAACACCGCAGTCAAATATAATATATGAGAACATTTCAAACTTTATCCAAGCGCGTAGTATTTACATCTCATTCAGAAGTACATATATATTTTTATTACATATGTACATATATATTTTTAGAAAGGGTATATCTGACTGAGTATAAATACAAACATATAAATAAAAGTAACAATAGAGCCATAACTGATATTTTTAGTAACTTCTCATAAATTTTGGGTATATTTTTCAAATTTACTGTAGACTTTTTAATGATCATTACTTTTTGGGTATAGTTTTTTTTTTCCTTTGCCGTTTTCATTTGTGGCGCTTCTTCTTTATCATTTTTTCTTTTTCTTTCTCATTCTGCCGACAAAATAGAATTTATTGATAAGCAATGCGCCGGGCAACAAATGACAGCAGAAGCAGAAGCAACAATGCCGTTAGCTCGTCGCATTATAACAGTGACGTATGCCCGTCCACTGAATGAAGCCAGCAGCTAGCGCAAACAGAAACACAATCGCCAACACACACAAAGCAACGCAGTCCCGCCACACACACACACACACGCACTATATCACACACATTACGCATACGTGTGTTTCGTTTCAATTAAACTTTTTTTTGCCGCTCGTTTATTATGCAATCACAGACATTTTTCAGCGTTTCGCACATTTAATTTGGCATTTTGTTTATTGACTTTCAACGGCTTTCCTCCGTCCGCCTATTCCATTAACAGATCCATGTTAATTACATGGCCACAACTCAAAATTATTTTCAATGAGTTTTTCGCTGTGAAAATTTGTAGTTTTCATGGCAGATCAGCTTCGCTGTGGTCGACGGGTCCCCGACTATATAGTTGGAAAAAATGTTTATTGTAATTGCGATAGCGATTTTACTGCCTCCGCTCTGGGATGATGTCATCCTCGTCGTCAGAGAGTCGGCGACCTACCACGAATTGGAGTTGTGCCACAAAAAAGCACTGACATAACCTCACAAACTGGTTATGAAAAAGAATAGCGTTCGGTATCGGAATTGAATTTGAGTAACGCTAAACAAAAAATGAAATAAAGAAGAAAAACAACAATAACGAAGGCGTAAGAGAGGGACGCAACCAAGGTTAAATTGTCTGGCTGGCAGAGAGGTCAACTGCAGGCCAAATATTTAATTAATTCAAGCCGCGCCCCACTTTACCGAAATATTCAAAGTCTCTAACTTCGTCGAAAACCTGCAGCAAGACGTCATCGACAGCGCGATACTCTGTTTGCACCACCTGAGAGACGATGAGGTAGAGAGAGAGAGAGAGAGAGAGAGAGAGAGAGAGAAAAAGAGAGCATGTTTTATTGTGAGTTAAAAGGTAGCAGAAATGTAAATATTGATTTTTGTGAATTGCCAAATTTGACTGCACTCTATCTTGAGACATGTCAACGTCGTTTATGTTGAGAACCAAATAGCCATATTCACTTGGGAATACAGGGTATAAGAGCTGCACGACGACCCTGAAGAGGCCAATGCCAACAGCAAGTACAGTCAATCGGAGCACGCATTGCCACTGTCCTTGGCCCTGCCCTAGCTCGTGAGTGAAATGCGCGTCAGATCCTTGACAGGATAACGTCGAGGCAATGCATTTGAAAGCCAGGCCACATTCGAATGACAGCAAACATTCTGACAACATAGTATATTGTGAAGAGAACAAAAAAATAGAACATTGGAGAAGCAACCGAAATGAATGACGTGGGCGTGTCATACTCATACACTCATACGAATACCAAATGTATTCGTATTTATATTTATGGTAAATATCCATAACATAATCAAATACATATACACATACGCACACAAATATATATATTTATTTAACGAATTACTCATCAAATCGAAATTGTTTGGCAAGTGTTTTTTTATGAGCTTAACCAGGCGTATACATAATCTGTCGTTCGAGCTCAAACTCTTGAAAATTTCACTAAACTGGAAATTTTAAAATGTAGCCGAAGATAAGAAAGTTGCTCGTAGCGGCCACTTTAACGGCTCATGTTTTTGGTTGTTTGCGTCCGCGTTAAGAGTATTTCCTATATGCTTATTAGACGCAAAAAGAAAAGTGAAAAGAAAAGCACAGCGCAACGAAGTACGTGAATGCGAGAGCTGATGATGACGTTGCGTCTACGAAAATAGCATTCAATTAGTCGAACGGACGTCGCGACGCAGAGGACGTCTCCACTTTCTCATGCAACTGCTCTGACCTATATAACCCGTCCCAGCCAAAGGGGGCGAGCAAATGAGATGCAGGCGAGTGCACGACGTGAACAAATCAACGACCAAATAAATGAGAAAAGTGCCACAAAGTAAAGAGCCAACTGCGTTGGTTTGGGAGGGTACTGCGGCAGTTGCAGCTCATCTCGCCCCTTTCATTTTCATTTGTGCTACGCGTGCAACGGGGTAAACACGAAATAGAAACAAAACAAAAATAAAAAGGAAACCGAATAAAAAACCACAACGAACATCAAAAACCACAGCCAAAAGCGAGGCCCAATACGAAGTCAATGCTCTGCACATGAATTCATGTTGAGAATTTGCTGTTGTTATTATACCCTGCAAGCATTGTAAGCATCGCAATCAGGTAGTTGTGTTGCAGCTGAAAGTATATCATTGTCAATATCATCAATAGTTTATAGCACGTGACGTTTAAGTTCGTTAATAATCTCTTACTAGGTATTTATTGCATATAAATAGATAGATAGATAGTTTATTTATCTGTCTGTGTACGTTGTAGGATATATGCTGGTGGGTATCTACCGGTCGGGCAAATTTAGTAATTCTAGTGCTGCTGTTGTCTCTATTGTTAAGTCTTTTGCGTTGAGATCGTTGAACGAGCAACGAGCACTGCACATTATGGACTTGTCTCCATATTGGGCCATGGGGAGAGTGGAGCTACCCAAGTCAATTAGGCACTCTAAGCACGCACACAACTACAAGTGTTCGCTGGCGCAGTCCAAAAACTGAGAGGCGAGGGCTAAGCACATGAACTTAATTACGGCCAGAGGACCGGACGACGAGCCAACGCAATTAATCATAAACAACTGTAGGAAAAGTAGAAGCAGAAGCACAAGAAAAATAAAGACAAAAAGCAACTGAAGGAGGGCTATGCAATTACAGCGAACGACTTAGGTTTCCAATGGATTCTCAGCTGCATTTAGTTCCCAGGGAGCGAGACGAACGGTAAATTAACAGGTATTCACGATGACGACGCCCTAACGGTAACGTGTGTAATTGTAGTTGCATTTTAAATCTGATTCGCTTATACGGCCGACAATTTGGGGCCCTGTCGTGGGATACGGTGGGTTAGTTAATAGGAAGGTACTTGAACCAAAAAACTCGTTCTTACAACCACACTGACGTCATCGCAGCTGAGAACCAAAATGGGGAGTGGACGATGAAAAGCAATCATATGTGTGTGTGTGAGTATCAGAGTACGGTTTTTTAGTACTGCGCTCTCAGTCGATGGGCCTAACCAGCTGGCCAGTATTGATTAACAATTGCATGCACATACACACTTAGCGAAATATTACTGGTTTCCTTATACCGTGCCATAATACGATACTAATGCGTTAATACCATCAACTAAATCTATGTACACATGTGCACACACACATTCAAAAATATGAGAGCACACACAAAGAGTACTAGATAGAGCGATAGAGAGACAGAAAGACAGAGAGAGAGAGAATGCGCGCGAAAGAGAGTGGGCCTGGCCACCCTCTTTTACTGACACTCGTGGTCTTCGGCTTTGCGCAATTTCGTTTGCTCACACACACACATCAGACGTACATATATAGTCAACCGTATTCAGTGTCGGCACTACTACTACGAACAACTTACCCATTGCGAGATATACTGCTATGCTCTTCACTCTAGCGCCTGCGATATGGGGGAGGGTAACACACACACACACACGAGTAGAAATCAACAATAAGAATGGTATAGGTGCACAGGTCACCACTACTAATTTAGCCAGCCCCTTCACTTCACTTCACTAACAAATTTTTTCCTCTGTTAGATTTTTTTCTATTTGTATCTTTTCCGTATGCATTCGCAATTCACGTGTATTTATGTATCAATTGTTGGTGGCTGGCGCTCTGCGTGTATGTGTGTATGTATGTATGTGTTTGACGCAAACTCGATGCGCATTCGGCTTTCTGCATTCACAAAATTATATTTATGTCCCAAAATCCAAGAAAATCACAGTGAAATTAAATAGTTTTGGCCTTTTCTTGTATGCTTCTTACTACAGTTGCTTAACAAATATAAATTCCAATTTAAGCTATTCCAAAAAAAACCCCGCGCAGCAACAAACAACACCGACAAGCGACGACGACGGCAGCAACAAAACGACTATCTTTTAAATGAGCCGCAATGAGAGAATATCTCAGATACAAGTAGAGATGAGCCAACCAATTAGACTATCGATATTCACCTATCGATAAAAAAGGCGGAAAATTTGTTTTGATTTTTTTAATGCGTTTTGCGTGTACATTTGCACAATAAGCTTTCTTAAACATTATAATAATAATAGTAATAATAATAATTATAACATTACTAACAAAACTATTACAATTAGAATAAAATTCATAATTCATATTCACCCAATCTGGTGCAATCTTTCACAAGTTAAAATTTAATAGTACATCGAGATTTTGCATAGTTTAAAAGTACATACATGCTTAGTTAATTATAAGAACCATATACATACATATATAATTTACTCATGTTTCTTCAATATTTCTCATTTCTCGATTTCCATTCGCATTTCTACAAGATTCTTCTTTTTAAGTAATTTAAACTACTTTATAATATTGAAATATAATTTTGTTTTTTCTTTTTGCCTTATAATGTTGATAATATCTGCTCGCCTGTCTCCAAATCCGAATTACGCGAATAAATTTGACTAAAATCCACTGAAGTTAATGTGGAAAGGGATATGAAATATGTGTGCAGATAAATATACATATATAAATATATATATATTTGTATGTTTGAATATATATACGTATAGTTGAATGTATTTTTATTACATTGCTGTTGAAGTTTAGTTTGCCTGCAACTACAGCATAACTAGTATGTATATATTCATATAAATATACACCCACGTTTGCTAATTGCACGTGATAGGATCGGTCGAGTACAATTGTTGCCTGCTACCAAATCAAAATATATATAACTTTTTTCAATATATATATTTTTTTTCTTTCTTTTTTTCACTGTATGTGTATGGGCTCTCGTAACCAATTAATTTCCAATCCATTAACCATGTGTTAAATTTCAACTAAAGAAGACCTTTGACCTTTGTCGCCGTTATTCCTCATCCGAATCACCATCACTCGAATAGTGGCTTATCTGCGGCCGACGCACAAAGGGTGCAGTTATCACTTGTCTACAAGTCAAATCAATAAATCAAACTATTTAAATATATATATATGTATATAAATATAATCAATAAGATATCATGGAATTTGGCGGACTCACGCAATGCGCCTATAATGATTCAGCCATTCCTCCAGCATTTGTGCCACCAGCAACGGTCGTTTAGATAACTTTTGCTGTGCCACCAGAAGTCCTCCATCGGTGACACACACATCCAACCATTGGCGCATCATCGCTTCCTCATTGCCCACCTGTAAGCGAACAACAGTGAAATCTTTCATATAGATTTTATCTTCTGTTGATTAGCACTCACTTCCGATTGTGTAAGAAAGTGTATGGGCAACAGCTTCAGTTCACAGTCCATTAGGGGCAGATAAGTAACATCCTCGACATCATCCCGACGTCCATCGATGCGGGAGAACGGCTCCATTGGAACCAGAGCGCTAAAGTGACCGCGTGTATAGCCCAGTGCAATGGGCGATTTTGTACAAAAGTTTTGTTCCCAGAATAAAGGTAGATATACACCTAGAAACAAATATATATGAATAGAAAATAATACTCGACAGCTATTAACAATCTACGACAGTTAAAGATAGGTCTTATTATGAGATAGGTACGGACGAATTTCGTCTAATCAAGCAAATATGCACTTAATGACATCATATTTGTAGATGCTTGTTGATACTCCTATTTCATTTGTATACCCTGAATCCATTTTCAATGGGAAATCAGGGCATAATGGTTTTGTTGAAATGTATGTAACAGGCAGAATGAGGCGAGGCAGACCCCACAAAGTATATATATTCTTGATCAGGGCGACGGACGAGCTTAGTCGATTTAGCCCTGTCCGTCTGTCCGTATGTATGAACGCGTCGATTTAAGACGATATAAGAGCTAGAGACTTCAAATTTTTTTTTAAATGTCCGTATTTACAGCGCGGATATCGAGATTATCATTAAAAATCGATAACTCATCCCGATCTTTTTTTATCGATAAAAACTTTATCGAAAATCATTTATAAAATTATATCTCCTACATCTTGGGAGCTACAGCTACTCCAAATTTTGAATGTATATTTATATGCATTTTATACAATTTCGGTTTTTGTTAAAATTTACCCCCTCCACCCCTATATCCACCCCTTCCCCCTCACATTTGCAAAAGGCGTATGTCAAATACTAAGGGCTTGGGCTTTGGCAAATACATGCATATCTATGTTACATTCATTATAATATGAAAGTTTCATGAAGATAGTCCATCCACAAGAACAATTAAGTTCCCATAGTAAGCCATCAGCCAATGCGCGTTTATGCGTGCGTACGTATGTCTGGGTGTGTACGTGTATGTGTGCATATGCGAATAATTATTAAAATATCAGTTGACACTCTCGACTAGAGCTTTCTTACTTATTTTCTTATAACTTTGCATGCCAAACGTACCTTCAAATCGAGCATAGCCAATGTCCTCGCCGCGAAAACTCTTCACGTATTTAACGCCGTACACAATGATTGGACGTCTTAATATGTGGGCCAAGGCAAATATATGCAACTGCTCCAATGAAGAGCCCGGTTGGCTGGCCAAGGAGAGCAGCGTGCTCCAATCCTCTTCCCACTGTGAGTCCTCTAGAGTGAAATGCAGCATTGATGCCTGCAGCATTTCATATTCCTTCCAGCGGGTAAAGAAACTATGGAATATACATCAAACTATGAGGGAATTCACTACGAGCTGATATTAGACCCACTTACACGTGTCCACACTGATGCAAAGTGTCAGCCAGCGCGCGCCTAAGAATGTTATCGCGATCAAAGACCCCCCAAGTGGCCTGCATTGCTGAGTCGAGTAGGCAATCCCCAGCACTGCGATTCCAAAGCACCAAGAGACGTGAGCTCAGCCTTGCTGTAATCTCCAAAGACCAGTTGAGTGCCGGCGGCGGCACCTCTAACTGTTTCTGTGCATCACGATCGAGCAGCTCATCGTAAAGCTGCTCCTGTATAGGTATGGGCAGCTCTTCAATCTCTGAGGGCAGCGCGAATGTAGCATGTTTCTGAACATAATGGCAGGGTAGGCCAGATTTGCGTATGCGCAGCGTATTCGAGAAATGGCGACGTATATCCGCTGCCAGATCGGGTGCCACATATGACGGTACACGCTTAATACCCGGCCCAGAGCCAGAGATCTGTGCCAAGAGCATCGGCAGCATTTCCTCGCGATGGAAACGTATGGCTAGATGGATGAGTGTGTGACCCACATCAAAAGCCGAATTACGATTCAAGGCGGCAATTTCATTGCTTGTCAATGAACGAGCCGGATTGCCACCACACGAGAGATACGCCTCCACAGCGCTGTAATTGTTCTCCACAACGCCAAGGCAGGCATTAAGCCACTGCCAATCTACCTGCCGCCTGATCTGACGCTGTCGCCGCTCCTGGCGCTCTTGTAGCGTATCACAGTTGTTGATAGTTTCCGAAGAACCTATTTAAAAGTAGACCACATACATAGACAGAAATACATTATGAGTTACTACTCACCTAGTTGGTAAATATGCTTCTTATTGAACGAATTGTTAACACTGACAGTGTCCGTGTTTATCTGCTGCTGCTGTTGCTGTTCTTCCTGCTGATTTAGCTGCTTGTTGCTGCTGGAATTGCTGGCACACGCATGCAAATCCGACTGTGAGCCAGAGTTGCTCAATTCGCGCGCTTTTCCACACATGGAGCACTTGAGACTCTTGGGCCAGTTCTCATATGTGCAGGACTGTGTTAAGGATACATTAAATTGTTAGATAAACTGATACATAAAATGTCATAATTGCTCACATTGCACGCCCATTTGGCTACGTGGCACAGCTTCTGCTGCGTTGACAAATTCGGGTGCTGCTGCTGCTGCAATTGCTGTTGGTTTGTTAACTGTTGCTGCTGCTGCTGTTGGTGGCTCTGACATGTATTGGCTATATTATTGAGATGCGTTGAATTACTGCAGATTTGCTGCTGCTCCAAGCTGGGACTGCCATTACGTCGATTTGAATTGGAAGCAACAGCGCCAATTAGCCTGCTACCATGTTCCGTGGCGTTGAGCTCAGTATCGGACCCGCTAATACGTAAAGCTTGCAGCGCTTCGCCGGCCTCGTTGGTCTCTTTATCCGCAGCTCCACGTTTCGTACAGCATTGCACACAGCGCAGACTGCGCGGCCAATTTAAATAGGTGCACACTTTGCAAGCCCATTTCTCACTATCAGCTACGTTGCTGTGCCGCGTCTGCTGCGGCTGGGGCTGCGCTGATTGACGTACAAAGCATGTGGATGTGGGCTCGACAGGCAGACCAGCTGCCGCCTCCTCTGCGTTGTTGTAGTTGTCGTGTATTGTCTGCGCTGGACTGAGACTGTTCCAACGAATTAAAAATTCATTATATACCAATCGCTCAAATATATCTCACGCTTTACCGAAAAATATCCTCGTTCAGCAACGGTTTGGATGCCTGGCACATTGTGCATTTTAGGGACGATGGATAATTCTCATAGGTGCAAATTTCACATTTCCATTTCTGTGCCTTGTCGCTGGTATCGCACATTTTTTGCGGCGACAACGACAAACAAATTGGCTTTAAGCTCTGGCTCCCGACGTATTACGGACTTCCACTTTTCCACCACAAAGGCTTCACTCGACTCGACAAAACTTTCGACTTGGACGGCCAACTGTTTTGTAAATTAGATATTAAAATTATATATAACAAGCAAATTTGTGTATGTCAGTATATAATGTGCTTCAGCTGTGCTTACAAAATGACCTTGAGCACACAATCCTCAATCCCCAAGCCCCCTCCTAACGAGATATAAGACTAGATATTAACAATTCGCTCGATGATTTGATTATTTTTTAGGGTAATTATAATTTTTGTTCAATTGTGTCAAATAGTGTGGCAGACAGCTTTGCATGACAATATATGACAAAAAACTAGGAAAAATGTTAATTTCTCTTTTTCATCTACTTGAATATTTATATCCAATTTAATAAAATATAAATTTTAGCTTGGAGAAATTCATTCAGCTTTCTATATTTTTGAAACTTTAATGTTTAGATTGAAATTTTTCCAGACATGTAAAACCTGGTTGGTTTTTAGATATCGTGTTATTCAACTAATCATGCCAATGTGAATTTAGCAAACATCTGCTTTAAAAGTCATATTAAGTTTAAAATAGGGTATTCAATATTCGAACTCTTTTCTTCTCTCTTTCTCCACTCGTCACAAACAGCCTTCATTTTGATGGGCTGCCTGCAATTGTTTGCAACGTGTTTGTGGGAGAGAATGGAGGAGGGTGGGAGGGTTTGGGTATATGTTCTTCGATGTAAATAGTTTCGCGCGAGTTTTTTCTGTTCTATGTTCTTCTTCTGTCTTATTGATGGTACCTGGCGCAAATAATACAAGGCCAATTCAGGGGGTACGACGCGATTTTTGTATATATATTTTTTTTATATACAGATGTATATATGTATAACAAAATTGACAATAAGTGAGCAAAATTGATGTCAACCACGAGTAGCGCTCATACCGTGTGAATATTGGCTCGAAAATGGTAGCCAAGAAAAAAAAACAATTACAATTACAAAACAAAGACGAGAAAACTTTCACTCGTTGGGGCTTTTTTAGTTTTTTTGATTGGAACAAAACAACAAATTTGGTTGAACTTGCCCTTGCTGGACTGTGGCTGAACGCACAGTCTGCTTATTTGCGAGCACACAAACACACCACAATTTGGAAATTTGGAATTTTAATCAAACGTCGTAGCGTAGCTGTTGAGTTACATATTAATTAAACGTCGAAATTTTTTTCCCTTTTATATTTATCGTCACATCATCTATCAGCTGCTGGTTGCGAAACTTATCTATACTTATCGATAACATGTCTAACGATTAGCTAGCTGCTGCAGCTCTGTGTAACAACAAAGTAACAAAAATGGCGGGAAAGCATTTAATGCTGTATAAATACGTATGCATGTAAATTGCGTTTAATTTAATAAATTATAACATGTTTTAACCAAAATGGTGAAATCAACTAAAATAAAAGCACGAACAGTGCGTGCTGGAAACAAATCAAATATATCAACCCGAAAAACTTTAACAAAGCTAAACAATAAAGCTATTCTAGAAACGGCAACAACAACTCCCAGTAATAAAGAGTTAAAACGCAATAACTTAGTCCGAGTACGCAATTGCATTGTGCGAATTAAACGACTTAAACTAAATGCAAGGGATCCGACAACATACGATGTAAATAAGACATTAACAGCTGCGCAATCAAAAGATGGGAACAAGGAAAACCGGGACGATGCGCATGCAGGGAGTTACTCATTACAATCAGGCAAGCAAATAAATGCGCATTATTCACATAATCTCGACACTCCAACTTTATTACTACAGGTAGTTTGCAGGGTATGGGGAAGGAGCCCGAGAATGCTGACAGGCGAAACTTTAAACTAATAGTTACGGACAAGAAAAATGTGGACCGAAGGACAAACAGTTTGAGCAACTGCCAGTCCACACAGCACTCAGGTAAACTATAAAGTATATTTACCTAATATACCTATTTGCCTAATCATGCACAATATTTTAGATTTCTCAATAAAACATTGTCGAGTACGCATACTTCGCTTCGCCAATAAGCAGCTAGAAAACCCACCACCCGTTCAATTGGCAGATGCCGGCAAGAAACACCTGAGCGACGAGCCGCTAAGGAATTGCACTCAGCACCAAGGTAAGCAATTTACGAAACGCACAGTGATCAGTTAACCGCTCACAACATTTTAGAGCACGTGCAGACAGCACTCAGGTAGACTTATATGTAAAAGTACCATATTCATCTAATCAAAATAAACATATTACCTTAGATTTTTCGATAAAACCCTGTCGCGTACGCTTACGCCGCTGTTCCACTGTCCAGGATATTGCTAAGAAGCAGTTAGAGAACCTACCACCTGCGCGATTCGCAGATGTTGGCAAGAAGCACCTTGGCAACAAGCCGGCAAGAAATTGTCCGCAGCATCAAGGTAAACAATTAACGAAACGCCTAATGATCAATTAACCACTCACAACATTTAAGGTACTGTCACCGTAGCAAGTCAAGAACGTATCCTACGTGACGCAAATATTCAGGATACGCGCCAGAATGGGAAGGAGAAGTTGAATATGCCACAACGTATGCCGCGATTTTTTCATCGAGATCAGCCACCAGCCAGAACACGTTCTTCGGTGACAAGGCAAGTCTATGACTTTCTTTCCCAGACCCAAATCGAAGACGATGAAAAGCCCGACCCGGCGGCGGATATAATAAAAAATATGATTGAAGATGGTCGAGCCTGTGCGATGACTCGCTCAAAAACGGGCAAAACGCGTGCACGCGCTGTACGTAAAAAAGTGCGTCCAGTGGGCAAACGAAAGCAGTGCTCCGTTCGCAACATAGGTGGAAAGGATCCAATCATTGCTCACGAGTCGGAGCAACCACACCTTTCACCCATCTGCGAGGAGCAAAACAATTTAAGATTAGATATTGCACCTGGGCAAGTAGAGACACCTGTCCAGCTACCACCAACGACTGCAGTGGCACATAAAACATTTGTGGAGGGCGCCTATAGTCCATTAGCGCGCTCTCTCATGCTCAATCAAACCAAGGCACAGCAATTCACGGACAGGCGCCTTGAACTGCTACATATGGCCAAGAAATGTATTAGTACACCGCTGAATGGTAGGAGCAATACAGCTCTAGATGCAACTACAACTATATTTTCTCCTGTGCTAGGGAATTCAGACACAAGACAAATGTCGCCGCTACTTTCAGCGGCTACTCCTAGTGGCGTCAGTTCTCCTTGGCGGGTGCCTGACGAGACGCCGCTGCCTAATACCTTTGAGTTTGGCCTGAACACATCACAATTACCCTCCTACTCGAGTGATTTTATACGCAAGCGGCATGTCTATTTACCCGGTGATCCTGAGTGCTCTGTTCCTATTGAACAGGACATTAGCTCCGTTGGCAACGATTCAGATAGGGAAAATGTTCCGCCATCAGCAGCAGCAACAGAGACATCCACTGGGCCGCAATCATTGACGACAATCGAGCCAGTGGATAATAACGAAAATGTGACGAATCTTGTGCAATTACCTAATCCACGACGAGCACTTAAATATCGTAGTCCTTTAAAGGACATCAATATATTGGATGTAGTTGTATTGCCATCGTGGAAGAAAAATGTTCAACAAAAAAACAATACCCCTACAAAAGAGTCTCTGAGTAGCAATCAACAGCAAGAATTCAACAGCAATATTCCAGGACAACAAACTAGCAAGAACCCCACAAAAGAATCCCAGACCCGGTATGAGCAGCAGGAACTCAATAGTTATAGTCCAGAACATCAGTGTGCACGGGATAAGCAGGAACAGCAGCGACAAGGTTGTGATCTGTTTGGCTTCGAGGATTTTCTCAGTGAAGAAGATGAAATCTGCGTCCGGGAGCCTAATCAAAGCGTGACGAAAAGTTGCACCGACACAACACTACACGAAAAGTTGCAGCGGTTGAAGAATTTGCGACCTGCACAGCAGGAGCTACCCCAGGTATCGCAAGCCCCTATGCGACATGCTTACGATGATTTGAACGCACGGGAGCCCCGGCAGCGTAACATCAAAGATATGCTGTGCTCCACAATGATTGGTAAGGAATCGACGAATGAATCGATAGCGTTATTTAAGGATATCGAACCAGAGACAACCTTTGATGAAAAGGTGAGTGTTAACATTCTCCAATCTATTCTGCGCTTGACAAATACGCGACGCTTTTTAGTCTGAAGCATTTGTGTTTGCTGATGCTGCGCTAAATTAAATCAAAATCAAAAAGGTTATATATTTTGATTGAGCCAACAGGGCCGCTAAGATTTAAGCTCATCTTCAAGCGGTAGTAAGCAGCTCGTACAAAATTAAGTTAAATTAGAATAACTAGTCCAATTTAAGAGAAAAACTAATGAAATCCGTTTGAATCTCTGTAGAAACCACGTCGGACTTACGTGGTGGAGAAACCGAAGCGGAAGCGGAAGCAGCGTGTGCGTGTTCTCTTCATCGACTCAGATTCGTCGGAAAATGAGGACGAGGCCAACGAGCACGGTTCCAAGAACAATAGTGACGAATTGCCCAAAAGGGCAATGCCACCGCAGAAGCGAACGCGCAGAGATGCAGAACATGAGGCCAAATTGCAGCAGTTCATCACGAGCTTCAATCAAGAGTGCTCAGAGGTGGAAAAGTTTCCACTGATCATAGAATAGATGGGATCACAGCGCAGGCGTAAACTTAACTTGTTTTCCCTTTTAATGTTACTTTTAATACACATAAACCTTAACATAAAGTTAGTTGTCACAAAACATTGCTGTAATTATATATTTGAATTGGTTTCGATTAGTTTAAAAATGTAACTCAGATGTAGGGATTAGATATATATATATATAGCAGGATGGCAATATATACATGTTTTTATTGATTTCCAGTTAATCCATTACTTGCGTACACTTTTTTGTGTAAATAAAAAAATGGGATGGAAATTTTGTGTATGGTCATTTAATATTAACACTGTTCTCTGGTCAGTGGTGGCAGCTTCAATCAACAGCTGTGCGAGACATAGTGGCAACACTGATCAAGCAGCTGTGCATAACAGTGGCAACACTGCGAAAAAAAACTAGCTTTAAATATTTTCATTTTAACACAAATAAAACAATGGAGCCACCGTATGCACCTTTAAGTGAGTCCTGTGCTAAAGCGCTGGGCGACAAAGTCTACGAAAAGCGGAAAGTAGCCTCCCAAGAAATTGAGAAGTAAATATTACATAGAAAACGCCCTCTTTGCAGCTGCAACAGACATACTAATTATTCATAATTCTACAGAATGGTCATTGAGTTTAATAATAAGAATAATGCAACACAAATACGAAAGCTGATTGAAGTGCTCTCAAACGACTATGCCACATCACGCGATGCCAATAGGCGCAAAGGAGCGCTCATTGGGTTGGCTGCAACGGGCTTAGGGCTAGGCAAGGTAAAAAGTTGATGAGTATTAGTCATGAATATACCCTTATAGATGCTAATGCGAATTTCTGCTTTGATTTGCAACCGGGAGATATCTAGATATCTATTGCTTCAATTGTCACTTATCAGGAATGCATGACTTTATCACATTTTTATGTTTATCGTTATCTTTTGCTAAGGATTCGGATAAATACGTGAATGAGCTAGTGACACCCATAATGAACTGTTTGTCCGATCCAGACTTGCGCGTACGTTACTTTGCCTGTGAATCCCTATACAATGTGGTTAAAGTAGCCCGTGCAGCCATTATACCGTACTTCCCAGAATTATTCGCCGCTCTATCGCGTTTGGTCACCGACTCCGATCAAATGGTGAAGGACGGCAGTGAACTGCTGGATCGCTTGCTAAAGGTTTTATTGAAGCCATTATATTACAAAATTGCGAATAGAGAGAGAGATATTTACTGATATATTCCTGCAGGACATTGTCACTGAATCGTATGAGACCTTCAATCTAGAAGCCTTCATTCCGCTGCTTCGGGAGCGCATGTATGTGAACAATCCGTTCGCACGTCAATATGTTATTTCGTGGATCTCAATCCTGAATGCTGTACCCGATATTAATATGGTTAACTATTTGACTGAAATACTGGATGGTCTTTTCGTCATGCTAGAGGATAATACGCCGGAGATACAGCCCATGTGCGAGAACACGATTAGTCAGTTCTTAAAGTCTATACGAAATGATTCCTCCTCAGTACGCATGGAGGATACCATCAACACGTTGATAACACACGCACAATCTTTGAACGAATTAATCAAGTCCATTGCCATTTCATGGATAAGAGAATTCGTGCAAATATTTGGCCCAAACGTGTTGCCCTATGCGAGTGGCATATTCACAGCTATTTTGCCATGCCTTGAATACAATGCGGAGTCCAAGCGCAGTGAGTGCATTCAAGCAGAGATTATGTCTCTGTGTAAGTATTGAAATATTTTAATTTAGACATCAAGGAGTGCGCTGTCTCTGTGAACAACTCAATGATGCAGCTGGTATCTTCAAAGGAGTTCAAAACCCAGAATGTGGCCAAAATTGATTTACGTTCGATTATGGAAGTGCTCTCGCAATACCTCACGCACAACTCAGTGCACACAAAGATTGCAGTACTTAAATGGATACATCACCTCTTTTTAAATTTTCCCAATGAAATGGCACTGCACGACAGCAATCTGAACAACAATCTATTGGCCACGCTATCGGACAACTCGGATGAGGTGGTTCTGCAAAGTTTATGTGTGCTGGCTGAGATAATCAACTCGCAGGATACAAAGGGTGGGTCTCTCAGTGTTTGACTTATTCAGCAATTTAATAATTTCTGTGGTAATTTAGATTTAGATGACTTTAATAAGCCGCATTATCGTAAATTTTTGTTGAGCCTGTTGAATCTGTTCACCGAGGACAAACTAATATTGGAAAATCGAGCCAGTCTTATTATAAGGTAAAATAACACATATTAAATAAATTCATTGTAACTGTATGCCAGTGTATGACAGCACCCATAGCCAAAGACAATTGCTTTGATACATATACACAAATGTACACTAACCCTTTTTAGAAACCTGTGTGTTCTACTGAATGCCGAGTATGTCTATCGCACCTTTGCTGAGATTATTGCCGAAGGAGTGCTCAATCTGAAGTTTTCTTCTACTCTTGTGCGACTCTTAAACAATATATTGTTGACTTCAACAGAACTGTTTGAGTTACGCACTAGCTTGCGAGAGATTTCGGATCCAAAATCAGCAGATCTCTTCCAATGCCTTTACAAAAGCTGGGTGTGCTGTCCAGTGTCCACGTTGTCACTTTGTTTGATCGCTCAGTGTTATCAGCATGTCTCTGAGCTGGTTATCCTATTGTAAGTGACAAGCTCATAATTTTCTCTTTATCATATGTAATGCCTTGTTTTTCAGCTCGGATGTTGAGATTACGCTGGAGCTGCTCTGCGAATTGGACAAGCTTGTTCAGCTTATTGAATCTCCAATTTTTGCTGCCTTGCGCCTAACACTTGTTTCCAAATCGAATAATTGTGCTGATGCTCAATATTTGGCACATGCGCTCTTTGGTATACTTATGTTGCTGCCACAAACTGTTGCCTTTGAAACTCTCCGCAATCGTCTGCAATGTGTGCCTACCTATTGGAGTAAAGAGCCCATGTGAGATACCCTAAAAAAAGGGGTATATATATACAAATAATGATTTTACTTGCAGTGATGAGCACAACTCGTTGGAGTACAGGAGCGGCATCGACTTTTCTGCACTTCGGGCTCATTTCATTGAGCGGCAAAAGTCGCAACGTGCTCAGCGTCTAATCAAAGGAAACGTTCCGTAATTACGCCGGATAATAACTAATTTGATATATCAAGTAATTTTTATATCTGTGATTAAGCTAACAATAGGCATAAAGTGTAATTTTTAAAGCAAATATAAATCTGTGTCATGTTTGCAGTTGAATGTTTCTATAAAGGAAATGGGTGGTTTCGTTCATAGTCAATTAGAATACATGATCGATCTCAAAGCTAGTTCAAATGGAAGACAATATTAACTTTTTTTATTTAAGACGTCCTTTTATTTGTTTTATAGGGGTAGCATTAGCTACATGTTATATTGGTATAAAATGAATATTATTTCTTTATGGCGCCCATGCGACTAGCATCCTGGCTGGGATACGGCATTTGTCCAGGCGGTGGTGGAATCGAATCGAGATTCACACCAGAGGTACTTGTGGTTGTGCTATTTGGGGCCAAAGCAGCTCCACTATTACCGCTGCTTGGGAGTCCACTGTAGGGCGCTGCAAAAGTAGGTTGGGCGTACATCTGGTATGCAGAGGCCGGCACCAGATTGGAAGGCAGCTGATGAAGCTTCATACCTGCCGGCATGACATTTATTTGTTCCTGGCGTAGATTGAAGTAGTCGTTTGGCTTAGCACTCGGCGGTGGTATGCCTGCAACATCGAAACGGCGATCTGTCTTGGCGGCGGTGCTCTGCTTGGCCTGAGAATGGGCCCACTTTATGCTAACCTTGCGACCCTGAATTACCAGTTTGTTAAAGGTGCGCTCAGCAGCTAACTCGGCGGCATTGCGTTTGGTGTATTGGACAAAAGAGCACTGCTGGCGCGGCACAAGCGCAATGGAACGTATCTCTCCATACTGATAGAATTGATCACGTATTTCCGGCTCAGTGATTTCTTCAGGTAAATTGCCAACGTAAAGTGTTGTTATATTGCGATCTTCCGGCGGCTCCAGCGTGGGTAATGAAGCGGCACGCTTCATTATCTTCTCGGCAACGGGATCGTTGCGTCCGTAGTATCGGTCTTTAATGTTCTGCTCACATAGAGGATCGTCCGGCTCGTTGGGCTTGTCATGCCGATAGGGACACTCCTCTCCACGTTTGCATTCGCCCTTCACCCAGAAAGAGCAGATGTGAGGCCTATTCCTTTTATAATAAGGCGCTGTACGTGCCAGTTTCGATAGCATTTCGTTTGCAGCCAATGAGCGTCCTACGGTACCAGCTGCTTCAGTACCATCTCCATCCTGGAGCTGGGCATCAATGTTCTGTATGTAGTACTCCTTATTGACATCACTCTGTGGCATATTGTCTGCCACTTTTAATGCTGCGTCGCGCACCTGGATGGGCAAACCATACTCCAAATCCAGCAGACACGTCTGGCACACGTTCTTCAACCGGGCACACGTTTGACAGACTTCAGTCTTCTTAAAGCGCATTCGCGCACCTGGGCACCAACGGAATATGGTAAAAGGTCGGGTGCAGATTTTGCATTCCTTGCCGAAGCGTTCCTTGATCATGCGCACGTATGGATTATCACCCAGGCAGGTCTGGCAGAGGATTG